TATGAAGAACAAAAGCATAACTTTCCTCATAATAATAATAATAATAATAATAATAATAATAATAATAATAATTGTTATTATTTTTATTATTATTATTATTTTATTATTATTATTATTATTATTATTGTTTTCTGTTGTTCTATCATACTACTGATTTGTTGCCTTCTGTGTGTGTCCAAAAGAAATACTCATTAAATATATTTTCTTTCTTTCTAGATATTGAGGAGAAAGGTGTGAGGATGAAGCTGACAGTAATTGACACTCCAGGCTTTGGGGATCAGATCAACAATGAAAACTGGTGAGCTGAGGTTATTTTATCTGAAGGCATCAGTAGCTGTTTGTGAAGTCATTTCCGCCCTTGCATTTCATATTTGCATTTACTTATTACTTATCAAAGGTCAGTGTTTTATCAAAACAACTTGCTTGAAATGGTGTGTGTGTGTGTGTGTGTGTGTGTCTGTGTGTGTCTGTGAAAACTTCATGCCACTGAAATTCATAATATATTTTTTAAGATTAGCAGCTCTTTAAGAAAATTATAGTAGCTACTCTGTGATTGTAAATTGCCGTAATGTAGAGAATGAATTTACAAAAGTGCATAATTATAATGAGTAAATTAACAAATAAATTATCTCAAATTACAAACTTTACAAACATGTTTTATGTAACTGAGAGGGAAGCTGCATTGGATAGCATGACTGATGATATGTTATAATTATTATCATATATAATGACAGAACACAACTCTGCATGAAACCAGAGAACCACATTATTCTTCAATATAATTCTTCAGCGCGAATAACTAAGCTATTTCCTTTGTCAGCTGGCAGCCGATTATGAAGTTTATCAATGACCAGTATGAAGCCTACCTGCAGGAGGAAATAAACATCAACAGAAAGAAGAGGATCCCGGACTCCAGGGTGCACTGCTGCATATACTTCATACCTCCCACAGGCCACTGGTAAGATCACATATTAAAGAGTTGCACACCCTTGTGAAGTGCTCCACTTTTTGTTCCTCATTTCTGTAGTTTTTGCCACAGCTGCAGAGATGAATCAGGCCTTCTGGGAATCTCCCCTGACCCATTGTCTATCCACAGCTCTTTAACCACGTCCTTCTCCAGCTTTTCTTTTTCATCTCCCTCTCTAGTGACCACATGTGGAACTCATTCTCTCCTAAGAGACACTTAAGTATCACTTGAAGAGTCAGATTTCACAAAGACATTGGACCCTACAGTTCTCATAGTTGGGGGAGGTCAAGAGACAGGGAGACGATTGTCAGGATGTAGAAAGTGCCTTATCTTAAGAAGGAGAAATTCTAGTTGTTGTATAATGCATACGTATATTATACATACAGTATTATAAAGATGTGTTTTTATGCTGAATTTAATTTGAAAAAGTGCTGCATCAGACGTCTAGAGTGATTATTAAGTCAGTGCCTTCATTGTTCATCCGGTTTAAAGTGGTTCACAGATTTTACATTCAGGGTAGAGTCCAACAGTACTAGACAGTAGTCAGAGACTAAACTATAAAAACAGATGGTCTTCGGTGTAAATGATGCTAATAGACCAAAGTTGCGGAGACTGCAACAATAATGATGCTGTAATTTGGCACAAGATTTGTCTGATTAAGTTAATTAAGAAAAGGCTCTGGAGAAACAAAACCAGTCATGACCAAAGTGTCCTCACAGTGTCTTGGCAGAATGCATGTGTCTTTTTTAAACAACCAGGTGGCGGATGTTTACTTCACTTAAATGGCATAATACAAACCACATTTCTCCATCTGCTTTGTCAGTGATTAGGGTAATTTTTTTCCTCCGAGTGGTGATTTGTTTTAGTTTAACAGTGATGAGTGGTGTGTCCTCATGTGCACCGAGAGTCAAGGAGGGCGTATAGCCACATATGCAGACGCACAGCAAGGCTAAATGCACACACATGAATCTTGACATGAGTGCTGTATTGTACACATGCAGTTAAAAGCACACAAAACACCCATGTGCACCAACTGTAAACACTCATTCACTAACCATCTGAACGCATATCTCCGTGACGGCTCCATCCACTGCTGCTTCATATTTCTGCGCACCAGTAACTCAACAGTTGTCCACTTAAATGCTCCCTCTATGAGTGGGGGACAAGGTGTGTGTGTGTGT